TGCTGGGATTACAAGCGTGAGTCACCATGCCCAGCTAGTAAATTCTTGTTAACCATGGGTAGTAGATATATCAACCTGTGAAATTTATATTTTGGATAATTATAAAATCACAAGTATACTTTTCTCAGAGCCTTGTTTAGATAAAAGTTTAAGGAACACATCATCTGTGTATGTATGTTTAGATATTTTTGAAACAAAGTATTATTTAATCAGTTTAATAATTCATTTAGTCATTCCAGTATTTCTTTATTGAGTGTCTAGTGTTTGTCAGGCAGTGGAGAAGCTGTGGATAATTGGCACTATCCCACTGCAGTTACACTCTGGGTCTTTCAGTCTACCCAGCAGTGTGTGCTGATAATGTAAAAGTAAATTAATAAACAGGAATGGAATACAGAATGATTCTTATGAACTTGCTCATATATGCATAGCAATAGAAAGAGTACTTCCTAATTGCAAACTTATAGCACATACATCTGCTAGAAACTCCTTGTGCTAAGTACATGAATTCAGGCATTAATTCCACACAAAAATAAAAACTAAAATCCTTTGTACCATGTATACAAATGGGACAAGTGAGCTTGACATTCAAGCTTTTCAATTCATGCAAAACTAAAAAAAAAAAAAAAATAGTTTATTTTGGGGAGCTTCATTCGCACCTTCTTTGGCAAAAGATAAGTGACAGAAAACACACCAAGCAGAGAATGATTTTCTGTTAAAAGAGTGAGATTCTCCAATAAAGGAAATAAATTTTGAAAGACAATTTTTACTCCTTAAAAAATAATATCCAAAGGAATGTAAGAATTAAATAATATAGAATAATAAAATTACTAATTTGCTTTTTATAATATTCCAAAATTTAAAAAGAGATAAAACACACATGATTTTACGTGTGTATTCCTAATGGTTGAGTCTTTTAGATGTGCACAAATTAAAGCCTGATATGATTAATGCTAAAGGCCATTGCTTTTGCCAAATCAGTTTCTTAATAAAGATATGATAATTGGTGAAGCAAGGTTAAAACTATGTTTTTTTCATAAGTTTTGGATATGGGTAGTAAATATTTTTGAGTACTTCAAATTCTTCTAAAAACATCTACCGAATGAACTACCTTTTAAAAATAACTGTTTTTATACAATTAGTGGAGTTTCTTTAGTATCACATCTTTAAAAGGAAGGAATTAGAAAATCTAGCTTCAGGTCTTGGCTTCATGTTTTTGGGCCTCCCTACCTCATGTAGAAACTGAAAGATTTGAGTTATTTTATCTCCCAAGTCTCTTCCAGTTCTGAAAGTGATTCCATCAGCCTGCCTGTGTACTTTGAGGCATTTGAACAGTTTCAAGAAAACCTTGAATCATATTGAAAGAAGTTGCCATTGTATTCATATGAAAGTACAGAACAAAACTTGCAAACAGTTGCTGCTCATTACAGCTGATATGCTATAAATGGTTGTTGACACTGAGACCAGATGTCATGGAAAATCCTGCATCATTAGGAAGCAATGGGGGTGGGGAAGGAACCTATGTGTAAGAATGTCTGTGCACTCTATTTAAAAACCAACCTAGAAAGGGATTTCATTATAAGAATCTAAAGATCCTTTCAATATATAAAGACTAACATAATAGATTGCATTAAGTTGGCGTCATTAATAAAGACATTCCTCAAGTTACAAATATTAAATGTTCTGCACATTGAAATGACCAGCTGCACTGGAATGTAGTAGCTAATCACTAATGTGTATGTTGTCACCACAGAGGACAGAGCTCCTATGATAAAACCCAGTGTGATTTTATTATTTCATAGAAACTGTTATGAGATATAATTTAGTACCTTATAATGTTCATTTGAGAAATTAAGGAACTAATTAATTAGCTCCAGGCATTTGTGAGTTGCCCAAGTCAACACAGGTAGTAACAGTTAGGGCCAGGACATGAACCCAGATCTTCATCTAAATCATCACCCTGCCTGTTTCTCTCACAGTGCTGTGGTCCATAGTCAACTAGCTACATTTAAATATCTGGGTTTCTGATCTCATCTGTCTGATTTGTGTTAGAAAATCAAAAAAGTGGAATAGTAGCAAATAATTGTGTAGTGGTGGTCCTTTCTAAGGAGGTAATCATTAATTAGGTGAGAAATTCTACCCTTTCAGCTTGGGTAAACTATATCTGCAAATTATCTTCCTTTCTGTAGGCATTCAGAATTTAAACTAACCTTGCCAACAAAATTTTGTAGTACAATATTTTTAACTTGGAAGCTATGTGAGTGGTAGTAATTCAGGAAAATTAGAATAAATGTGCTTGTCCTGATTAAAATGTTCCTTTAGAAAGTCTTAGTGACTAAGCCTCCCACACAATCACAGAACATGATAGGAGGATTATTCAAACTGATATATACCAAAGAGTTATATAGAAATCAAACTTGTGTGATTATTTTTAATGTTTCATTGGAGCTGCCCTTTAAAGCAATCTTGTGATGAAATATTAAAAAGTGAATAATCCCTTAAACTCATCATCCTAAACTTTTTAGTTTTCATTATACAATTTCATTTTAGATCCTAAATTTTAGTAATCATCCTAATTTTTAAATTTTATTATATAATTATATATTTCAGGTTTGCCTAAAGATATACATAAATATGAAATCATGTTAGTCTCTTCATTGTTACACCTACACTGTCACCTTCAAATAACCCTGCCTTTTCTTGTACATAACTGCAGCTGAACAGTCTTCATGAGTATAAGGTGCAACTCTGGTCCAGATGGATTTACTATTTTCTGGATGACTCACAAAGGCCCTACAGTGAGGTCTTCTTTAGTTATGAATATTTGCCCCAGTCATTCAGAGGATATATGTGCATGATAAAACTTTAAGATGTTCCATTTCTTCTGAATCGGCAGGTTCTTGGTGCTTGAGGCATAATGCACATAGCCCTGCCCAGCAGCTTTTTCATTTAGTGATAAGAGTGAAAACACACTATTTTTTAAAAGGTTATTTACCAGTGACGCTGACAGTTGCTCAACAAACTTATCACTTGACTTCAAACACCTAAAATGTGATTTCTAAAGTGATTGGAACTGAGTCTGTGGTTGACAAATTAGGACAGATGTGTATTAACAGAAATCTCTGACATGCCAATGCTTTTGAAAGTGAAGAAAGAATTAGAATCAACCATTGCTTACAGTTTGATGAGCTTTATCCAAGTTGATTATTCCATGAATTAATAGTTGGAACTTAACTTCTTGATCAAATTAGGAAATGCATCAATGTGGTAGACCATAAATTTTAGTTGCAAAAATAAAATGTCAATTGAAAATAATTTAACATGAGTAGATACTATTGTATATTGATAAACAAAGTTCCAAATAAATTTGAAATGTTAGGTTTTACTAAAAGTCATTTCAGAATAAAAGCCTTTTATATTCTTGAGATATCTTCATCCCATACTCGAAATTAAATTATGTATTTAGTGTTGAGGTAGTTAAAATCCCTATCAGTCCCACAAAATTAGAAAAGTTTTCTCACATTTACCAGTCATTATAATAGCGATGAATCTGATGGCAGTGAGCAACAATAGCCTGAAGAAGTCTGGTATTTGGTTAAAACTTACTCGCCAACATTCTAATTTCTTACAGATTTAACTTAATTTCTTCCAAGTTCTGGTTATGGGTCTTTGCTAATGTGCATGGCTGGCTTAATTAATAAATTAGGTACTGGTTTAGGCTGTGTTTACACAAGGTCGAAACAAGCAACAGAACTGACTAATTCAGTGAGAAAAATGTAGCCAATTTGATTTTTAAAGCATGACATTTCTTGTTTATTAACATATAAACAAAATGAATTTGATTGACTGAATTTTTAGATTTTCAGACAATTGTTTTGGCACTTGTAGAGGCCATTGTTTCCCAGCTTTTTTCAGTCTGAGACACACCTCTAAATTTGCTGGCTTTTGTCCCCAAATAGGAGGACTTTGAACCATTCTCCCATATACATTCTAACCCAATATATTTATCGAGTTTGGAGTTGTACATCCTTAACTGTATATATTAATCAGCCTCCTTTTCCTAACCATCTTCATTTCTTAAAATCCACAAAAGTGATTCGTGGAAATTGAAGACTGTTCCCTGGTGCTTATTTTCAAAGTACTAATGTGTCTTGATAACATTGGTTGGGAAACAGTGGTATAGACACAGCCTTATTCCAAGACTGAGTTATCAGCCCTTGCATAATGATAAATGCCCGAGAAAATAAAAATATGTCTTTCTCATAGTACTCTGAGATGGAAGAATAAATATATAAGTAATGCTCTGAATCACACGTTGAAGAAATGTAAATTATGTTTTAAAAGCTGGCTTATAAAGAAAAAAAAAGCTGACTATAACATTTGGCAAATAGTAGTATACTCTTTCTGCCTTTAAGAATAAACAGATTCTTAAAGACAGCAATTTTAATACATAATTCAGAGTAAGTCTCCAAAATTTGTACCAAAATTGTTTGGAAACATTGAGGAATCAAAATCACTACATTTGGGTCCAAACTCTTGAAGTTAACTAGGATTTAATTTGCACAGTTTCATTTGCCAAATGTCTGTAGATTGGTCCAACTCTTGTTATTATTTTGCCAAGTTTCCTTCTGCTGAAAATGTCTGCTCTGTTAGGCTTCTAAGTCAATGTCCATGGCCAAGTCTGAATCCTGAGCGGTCCTTGGAAACATGTGAGCAGGTCAAGACAGGTGCTGTCATTCATTTGATCCCTCCCCAAGTGTATTCTCTCTTCTACCCAGTATCTCTCTAGGACAGTTATGCATCTGTCTGAAGCCTGCACACATGATAATATTTAATCGTTTTCTAACTGTATTTTCCCTGGGATTTAGGAATGGCAGTCTCCAGGAGAGATGACAGTGCATGAATTTTTTTTCCCCCTAATCCTGTAAAATGTTGTTAGTTTTGAATAGTCGCTTAAAATAGGTTCTCACTTCAGTCTCTTTTTTTTTTCTTTCTAAATAAAGCCTGAGAATTTGCTTTTAGCTAGCAAATCCAAGGGAGCAGCTGTGAAATTGGCAGACTTTGGCTTAGCCATAGAAGTTCAAGGGGACCAGCAGGCGTGGTTTGGTGAGTAGGGCCCCCTCCTTCATGCTACCTGTAGTCTTCTGGCTTCTGACTTCTGGCTCCTAATCCCACTTCCTAGTGAAAATAACATGGAAAAGTTCATTCTAATAACAATTTGACTAATTTTAAGATATTGTGCCTTTATAAGCACTTACTTTTATTGACATTAAAGGGTATATAATCTAGAAATAATTTAAGGGAAAATATTAATGGGAGAACAAGAAGACATATACTTTTTTTCTCAAAGGATGTTTGAGAAAGTGCCTTATTTAGTAAGCATTAATTAGAGGATTACAACATTCAAAGAGTACTTTTTTTATTTGAAAGAAAGTTGATTGTTTGCATACAGCCTCATATGATGCCAAAAACTGCTATGTGAATAGTAGATGCTCAAGAAACACAGCCTATTTCACATATAATACTTTATGATTTATGAATTAAAGATTGTTTAAAAATTATGAAGCATGTATTTATGTGTATATTTCACCTTAGTTATTTTATATGTCTTCAACATGCCACTTTCCTCTCAAAAATTCTGATAATTTAGAAATTTTTATGTGATGAAATTTCTGCTTCTTTACAATTAAGGAAGAAATTAATTCTAAATAAATTTAAATTATAGTATTTCTAACCAGACTTAGGTTTTGTTTCAGTATTCAGCCTGAATAAATTATTTACTCATTAATTTTCATATGCCTCTCTCTGCCATTTTTCCAATATCCAACCCACTTCTCATGTAGAGTTCTAAAAATATAACCTCTCCCCAAGCCTGTCTTCCTTCTCTCCTGACTTTCAGTGTGTTGAGGTTAGATAATTTTTTAATGCCCTTCATTTCTGATTTCTTTTCTTCTGAGCACAACAAATAGAGGACTAAAAACATGCTATTTCTTTGTTTTATATGCAAACGCTTTTCTGTATCCCTAATGTACACATCTCCCGAGATGTGCATATTACTCCCAGGATTCACCACATCTCCCTTATCCGCCCCAGCTGTTACTGGGAGTGGATGGTGTGCCAAGCCTCCCTGGCAGCCTAATGCAGGACCTTAGTTCCTGCTGCCTGTCCTGTTTCAGTAGTACCTGACAGTTATTCTTGTTTGAAGCCCCTCCCATGTTTAATATTACCTTTTACATTGTCTTTTTACCCTCCAATCCCAGATGAATTTAATACCTCCAAACTTGTCATTTTGTTAATAATATTTTAACTTTTTAATAATCTTGTTCCCATTAACTGCAAACTGAAAGAAGGTAGGACCTAGATTAGGTCTGTAAATTACAGATTCAAATGATCTCTGTATCCTGGAAAAGAGTACAGTTAACACAGAAAGAATATATTGTAACAGGAGTTAAAGGTTGAACAGGAAGTAGTGGGGCTATCACAGAGATGGGCAAAGCAAATATTAGAGATACATAAATTAAGTAGGAAGTCCTGACCCTGGAGGAGCTGAGGCTTTTGTATCAGTAACTATTTACCATTCAGGATGGGAGTATCTTAACATAGGAATGTATAAGGAGCTGAGGGAACACAAGACAGGAAGGACAAAAACCTGCCTCTGGAGAGAGGTTCGATAATTGCCTTAACACCTATGGTTGCCTAAAGGATGAATGGGACTTTGTTCACCGTCATGCAAGAAGATTAAAGCATTCCAGATAGAGGGATCTGCACATGGAAAGGCTCAGAGGCATGAAACTATTTTTTCTATTACAGTAAAACAAGAAGTTTGATAAAGCTAAAGTATACTCAGGTGAATAGTAGTTAATGAGGCAGGAAATGATTTTATGTTTATTTGAAGGGTTTGGATTTCACCTTAGAGGTTTTGGGATCTGGTGAAACATTTTTAGAAGAGAGGTGTATGTTGTTTAATAATGATTCCAGTAGAAGTATAGAAGATGATTTAAGGATAGTTAATCTGAAAGCAAGGACCCAGTTAGACTAAAGCAATCATTCAAATTATGCATGATGATAGATTTGACTAGGGAGGGTGTAGGAGCAAACAAGTTCCAAGTAACATACAGATCAGACAAGAAATATGAACTCTAAGGGAATCTGTTTAGGAAACATGAAAGTCCCAGACATTGGGTTCGAAGACAGGACTGGAGTCCTGTGTAGAGCAAAGCAGGACCCCACCTCATGAGAGACTTGGAGTATGAGGCAGGATACAAAAATGGGAACTTAGGCCCAGGAATATAATTGCCAGAAATTGGTAAAGGTGATGATTGGATATCAGGAGTAAGATAGAAGCCTTTGTTATCAGGTCTGAGGCTCAAATTAACATCAGCAGCTGTGTTTGATGATTACAAGAATGTTGGAATGAAGCTCCTTAAATCTCTTCTGTTTTTGAGCTTAATGTTTTATCTCCTCTGCTAGGACACATACAGTTTGAGAATAGGGCTATGTGTAGTGAGAACAATTTTACTTTTTGAATCAGAATATATGAATTTATATCTTGGCTCTGATTCTTAACAGCTGTATGATATTGAGCAAGTCACTTTAAATCTGTGAGGTCACTGTGCTCTTTGTAAATGGGATAATAAACACTTCTTCACAGGACTGTTATAAGATTGAGTGAAATAGTCCATAGAAACTTGAGTGAGCTATAAAGGATGTTCAATAAGTTTTCAAAACCGTCTTGGTGTGAAACAATGACATAGTTCTTTGCATATTCAGTGAAAGTTATTTAGTGAATCAGTGAGTAGAAGACGAATATCAGGTCAGTAAAAGCAATAGCGTCCAAATAAAAGTACATAGGTTTTCAAATTGTTATTGATTTCTAAAAACAAGCTGGTCCCAAAGAAGCAGTGACAGCTCAGCAATAAAATTTCCACTTCATCAGTATGGTGCTATCAACAATTAAGTTATTGTTAAGGTACCTGTTAGAGTAATAACGTTTAAAAGAAGCAACATCTTAAGTTCTAAGGCGATTCAGTATTTCAAAAGTACAGAAAAACATAGTGTCTAAACTTAGGAGAATATACTTCTTTTTTCTCTTTCTTTTTCTTTTCTCAAGTTCACGCAAATCTTCATGGTAACCTGAGGGAAAAGGAGACATGTGGTATTCTATGTTTCTTTCTAATGAACTGCCAGGTATATTTTAAGTATTAGGAGTAAAGGCATGTTTTAATAATGAATGACCTGTTTTGATGTTTATTCATTATGATCTGCCATTATAGTCCCATGTATTTTGACTGATTAATTTTATCTTTCAAAATGTAATATCAATGATTATGGTTATTCTAATTTTGATAAAGAGCAGAACTCTTTCTTCATTATGTGAAATACCAGAGCTTCAGGCTTTTACATAATTTTATTTTAATAAATATACAAGGTCTATTACAAATAAGAAAAAAACATATAATATGTATACAAAACAACATAATAGATAATACAAAGCATTATGGAAGCTGTTTATTGTGGAGTTTTTTTTTAATTATCATTTTTCAAGTCCAAACTTGCTTGTTTTTTCCCATATTTACTTTTCATTTTCTAGCCTGGTCTGTTGGAACACTAGCCAAAAATGGTAGAAGTAAACACCCTGTCACTATACTTGATAAGATGGCTAGAAAAGGAAATATTCAGATATATTCTGTTTCTCTTATGGAACTGGACATGTTATTTGCAATACATTTCTAGCATTTTGTTGCTGCTGGGAAACAAAAAAGAAACATAACTACCAAGATCTTGGTTCATGGAAGAATTACTTTGCTTGGTTGCTGTTATGTCTCTTTTTTATGATATTAAGGTTCTTTTTATGCCAGTATGTTATAATGGATACATTTCCAGCAGTCAGTAATTCTCTTTTCTCTTTGTATAATCTATTTTGATATTCTTATTGGTTTTTCAAAGTAAGAAATATACGCTATCCCTAAAAAAGGCAAGCTCTCATTACTTTTTCTATTGATGGCATGTAGTATGAGAATCCTAGATTCTTGCAAGTTTAGTTTCCCACAAAGAAGGTCTTATCTATTTTACCCCCCGTATGTCTGTATTTATGAGGTCACATTGTACAGTACATTGTGTCCTAACATCCATGCATTTAGATATATGCTTCAATATTCTTGGGGTAAGGACCCCATTGACTGCTCAAATGATGATTGTAACTAAGTGAGAATGAGCATGATGGTGTTCTCTTAGAATTTTAGTCTCCAGAAGAAGTTTGTAATAATTTACATTTTAAATGATCTTTTCATTTCTTACTCACATAATAACTTACTTCCCTATCTTAGGGAAGCTTAGGAGAGATATTGTTAACATTTCCTATTTCTGGCCATGCATTCTAAGTTATTGAAATCATACATTATTAAAGTTTACTGATTTAGACAGAAGAGTACAGATTATGTATAAAAGAGTGGTTGAAATTCAGGGTGAGAAGGGATCACTGAGAACTGTAGGTAGCTAAGGAGAGTTCTAAGATGGAAATAACTTAGAGCCACTCTCTGTTAGAAAACGGGTAGAGAACAAATATTGAGGATTCAAGGAACAGAAAAAGTAGTATCAAGGGTGACAATGAGAAGACCATTTTTTAAAGACCTTAAAGAGATTAGTCAGGTCAAAGGCTCAGAAGGAGAATGAAATCATGTTGAATGAATGAAGGGTAGCCAGATGATAAAGGATCTGAAAGTGCTCACTAAGAACATTGGATTTAATCTGGACTTTAGCATCGGTTTCTCATTGGAGTCTCAGTGCCTGTCAACTCTAGAGGAGTTGGAGAAGGACGGTGAGAGTGGAGGGGACAGAAGCACTGGCAAACTCTTTAAAGCAATTGTGCCCATCTCTACCTTGGAATTCACAGACTGCATATCACTCCTTGAGGAAATCTTCAAGCTTTAGGCAGTGGAACCACCATTATTGTCAGTAATTCTCTTTACCTCACAACTACCAACCAAATATTTATTTCAAGGCAAGTTTGAGGTACAGATGGATTACCCAGGGTCCATTTGAAGCTAAATTACAACATACAGGTCTTTCCTTGGCGTCCCTTCTAATTGTCTATCCAATCTTCCCCCAAAACAAACAGAAAAAGAAGAATGGTAATAGAAAAGAAAAAAGATTGAGTGCAAAATTTTTTTCCTCATTTTCTATTTTGTTCAGAGAAGTGACTGTGTTGTATATATTGTCTTTTTAATACCTCTTTGCATGTTGTTTGTACTTAATAAGTATAAATTTGTCACAGAAATGAGGGGGAAAAAGTTTCTTTCTTGGACACTTTGCATTTCAGCAAGTATACAGTGTGTTTCATCAGTGATCTGTGGTTGGAGAAATTCCATTATATATACTTTTAAAAAGATTTTTTTTTTTGGTTTATTTGTGCGTTTAAAGAAAACTTCCAAATGAGGATAGTTATTTTTAGTACGTTCCAAGCAAACATTATTATTTAAAAAACTGTTATTTTCAGAAATAAGTATTTTACTCTAGATTCTAGCTATAAATTGTTTTTAAGTGTAACTTATTGAATTCTATGCCAATATGTATAATACGAAGTTTTCTTTCCCCATCTAGTTTTTCTTACTACATCTCTTTCTTAAGTTGAATGTCTAGTTGATACTTGTTTAATAGTGATTCATCTGAATAGTCCTGCATCTTCTCTTTAGTTGCCAGTTACAAGTACATACTGATTATTTATTAGTACACAGTGAGCTCTGTGATATGTTTTGGACTTATATCTTCTCCTGGTGAGTTCTTCTCCATATTTCTTTTCAGGTGTAGTTTTAACTCTCATATACATAAAGGACAATAAGAATTACTAACCTGAAATGGCCTTAAATGTACAGAGTGACTTTGCAGCGTAGTAGATTGGCCTTCATATCTGAAAAAAAAGATATATTTTTTTCAAATGAGTTGCAGGGCAGGGCATACTAGTGTTGATATTTCTATAAAGAGAAAGTCTACACTATTTATTGCTCTGAGAACCTTGTTGTATTTTGAAAAACATATCATCAGATAAAGAAGCCCCCGAAAATTTTCTTTCTTAGTTTCCCATTTCATATTGTTTTGTCAATTCAACTGTGACTCATTAACACCTCTTTCCCCTAGGTTTTGCTGGCACACCTGGATATCTTTCTCCAGAAGTTTTACGTAAAGATCCTTATGGAAAGCCAGTGGATATGTGGGCATGTGGTAAGCAATTATATTTTGGAGCAAATTTTGTGATATGCTAGTGTCTTAGTCCATTTGGTCTGCTATAACAATCTGTCATAGACCAAGTGGGTTAAATAACAAAAATGTATTTCTTATTTATTTATTCATTTATTTTGATAGAGTCTTGCTCTGTCGCCCAGGCTGGAGTGCAGTGGTACAATCCTGACTCACTGCAACCTCTGCCTCCCAGGTTTAAGGTATTCTCCTGCCTCAGCCTCCTGAGTTGCTGGGATTACAGGCATGTGCCACCATGCATGGCTAATTTCTGTATTTTTAGTAGAGACAGTGTTTCGCCATGATGGTCAGGCTGGTCTTGAACTCCTGCCTCAAGTGATTCACCTGTCTCAGCCTCTCAAAGTGCTGGGATTACAGATGTGAGCCAGCACGCCTAGCCACAAAAATTTATTTCTCACAGTTGTGAAGGCTGGGAAATTCAAAATCAAGGTGCTAGCAGATTCGGTGTCTGGTGAGGGCCTGCTTTTAGTTTTGTAGAGAGTCACCCTCTCTTTGTGTCTTCATATGGCAGAAAGGGAGAGGGGGCTCCCAGGGTCTCTTTTATAAGAGCATTAATCCCATTCATGAGGCCTCCATCCTACCAAAGACCTCACTTTCCTTCCTTCCATCATATTAGGAGTTAGGATTTTAACACATGCTTTTTACAAGGGACACAAATATTGTCTATAACAACCACAATTTTTGTAATTTAAAATACAAGTTGAACATCCCTAATCAAAAAATCTGAAATTTAAAATGCTTCCAAAATCCAAAACATTTTGAGTGCCAATGTGATTGCCGTGTGTGGAAAATTCTGCACCTGACCTCATGTGATGGGTTGCAGTCAGACACAGTCCAAACTTTATCTTATGCAAAAAATTACTTAAAATATTTTATAAAATTACCTTCAGGCTATGTGTGTAGATGTATATAAGATGTAAATGAATTTCATGTTTAGATGTGGGTCTCATCCCCAAGGTATCTCATTATATATGTATAAATACTACAAAATCTGAAAAAATCCAAAATCTAAAACATTTCTGGTCCTTAGCATTTTGGATAAGGGATACTCACCCTGTAATATCTTTTAAATTTGAAGTTGATATTCTCTAGCAATCAGCTTAGAGTAGAAGTTCTCAAACCTCAGTCTACAACAAGATTACATGGAGAGCTGTTTAAAGGACAGATTGCTGTGTTTCTGATTCAGTATATCTAGGATAGAAACATTTACCTTTTTGACAAATTCTCAGGTGATGCTAATGCTGCTGTTTTCTGGAACACTTTGGTAACAGGGATGTGGAACATTGCTCCTAGTGGTTATGTATTTATGCTGCTATCTTCTCAACCAGTCCTTCCAATAAATATTGTTTGTCCACGATACTTGGCAGAGATTAAGAGTGAACTAGTAAATATTGGAAAATAATGAAATTGGCCATCCTGTGGGGACAAAAGTCTGACTTAGGCCTCTATCTGCCAACTCAAATCAAAAACAGTATCCTATACAGGCCCAAAGACATATAATGGGGAGGATTTTAACCCACACTTTTTATGTGGAGTTTTTATGTTTCAACATATACTTTGAATATGTGAAAGACTGAACGAATACTGCAATATTACCCTACTAAGATTATCAACATAATCACCTAAATTCCTGACACTATGTCATTGCTACCAGCCTACAAGTAGATACCTAACTATCATAGTTTGGCTTTAGTGTGCTGCAGACAGATTTCAGTGCCTTTGGTGTTTGTCAGCAAGCTTAGAAAAAGTTGATTTAAAAAACTTTACTTGATTCTGAAAATAATTTTTTAGACTTGGTTTTAGTTTAAAAAGTTAATAAATTCATCATCACTACTTTATAGTGATAGACTATTCCTCATTATATTTCTTGTCAGCTTTACCTCTTTGGTAACAACTTGGCGTCTGATCTTAAACTGATTGAATCTTGGGCTTTCAGAGTTACCTCCATGCCTGGGAAGGCAGTGGTAAAATAGGGCACTATATTTATAGTCTCAACCCCTGGGGTTCAGTTTTTACTTTTTACCTACTAACCCAGCCTCTTTAATATATCTGAGTTGGTTTCTTTATCTGTAAAATAGGAATATGTTACCCTCAATGAACTGTAGGAGGGTCAAATGCAGTACACTTTAAAGGAAGACAATTGACAGTTGCTACTTAATTAATGGGTAAGGTCTCAGGAATGCCCCAAGTTGTGCCTTCCTTCTACCTACCTGAGAGTATCTTCTAAGGCATGAGCTCTAAAATGCCTCTGAATTACAGCATTGTCACAAAATATCTTTGTTCAAATCTAGATGTTAACGGCAGATAACTCAGATATTTTGCTTGCAATAAATCAGCTCCCAGCATACATAGATCTGTTTCTGCTGAGGAATTTAAAAAGCAACAGAGTGGCCTGAGACTCAGGCAAACACAGATAGATTTTGTGAAGGATACAATCATATTTTTAAAGTATTTTTAAAACATGATAAAGCTATATTTTTGTAAAGATAGGCGGTTTTGGCTACAATGCTGCACTTGGAGCTTGAATACTAGAGGGACAGTGTGGCATACAATAATCAGTAACCAAGGGAAGCAGGACTCAGCATAAGGGACATTTCGTACTTTTTCTTTGCTTACTTCATCGAAAGGCCTCTTCCAGCCTCTTCTGCCTTTGTGTTTATCTCTCCTTGTTTTCCTAGTTTCCTTCCTATTTTCCACTTTTTTTTCTTCATCCCTCCTGTTTACTTCATAGGTAGGATGCAGTATGTGTAGTGGTTAAGAGAACACACCTAGCTTCTCAGTTCACTTGCTGTATGACATGGCTCAAATTATTTAGTCCCTGTGTCTCAGTTTCCTCTTAGAAATGGAGACCATCAAATTCTTGCTTCATGGGGCTGCAGAGAGGATTTTTTAAATACAGTAAGTGATAGTTATTGTTATTATTATACAAAGTCTTCATTTATAAACGAAGTTTCTAGATAACTGATATATGCCTTAGAGTAGACTTAAAAAACGAAGTGTATTATATAACTCAGCATTATTGGTGTGATTAGCGGTAGAATGCCCTCATCTGATGACCTGAATACCAAATTCTCTCTCTCCCTCTCTCTGCTTTCTTTCTTCACTTTTAAATTATTTTCTCTTGTTTTATTTGGTAAAAGGTTATTATGGACCGATTTCACAACTTCTGAATCATATTTTACTCCACCAAAGAATTTAAATAAATTATTCATTTTTTCTTATATCAAAAACATTTTTTCATGTTTCAAATGTGTCACCATAAAAAAATGATAGACAAGTGAGGTGATGGATATGTGAGTTAGCTCTAATTATGCCACATCATGTATCTATACATATCAAAACATCATATTATACCCCATAAATGTATTCAATCATAATTTGTCAATCCAAAAAAATTAAGAATTTTTTGAAAATTTAAAACCTTTTTTTAATAATGTATAAGTTTTATTGGTGTTGAAGAATATCAGATCCACTAAAAAGAAACCCAAAAAGCTAAGAGTTTGTACTAGGGATTCTTCTCTGGCTATGCAGAAAAATCAGTGATGAAGCATATACAGGCACACCTCAGAGATATTATGGGTTTAATTTCTGGTCTCACAATAGAACAAATATCAAAATAAAGCGAGTCACACAAATTGTTTGGTTTCCCAGTACATATAGAAGTTATGTTTACACTGTGCTATAGTCTATTAAGTATATGATAGCATTATGTCTAAATGCACATACCTTACATAAAAAATACTTTAAAATAGCCAGGCCCAGTGACTCACGCCTGTAATCCTTGCATATTGGAAGGCCAATGCAGGAGGATCCCCTGAGTCCAAGAGTTTGAGACCACCCTGGGCAACATAGGATGACCCATCTCTACAAAAAGAAAAAAAAAACTATATTGCTAAAATATCGTCATCATCATCTGAGCCTTCAGCAGGTTGCAATATTTTTGCTGGTGAAGGGTCTTGCCTCAGTGTTGATGGCTGTTGACTTATCAGAATAGTTATTGCTAAAGGTTGGGGAAGCTGGGATAATTTCTGAAAATAAGACAACGACGAAGTTTGCCACATCAGTTAACTCTTCCTTTCGTGAAATATTGCAATACTCACCAAAATGTGACACAGAGACATGAAGTGAACCCAAGTTGTTAGGAAAATGGCACCACAGACTTTCTTAATGCAGGGTTACCATAAACCTTCAGTGTGTAAAAAATGCAATATCTGCAAAGTACAGTAAAAAAAAAAAAAAAAAAAAAAAGCTCAATAAAACAACATATGCCTTTATATCAAAATGCCCAAATCCTGCATGGGCCTCTGCTTTAGTGGATCTGTGGTAAAGACAGGAAACTGCATTTTTAATAACCTATGATGTATTATCAGAGTTTGGATTCACTGTTTTAGACTCACAAAACACACTATGTTCAATTGTAATATTACTTTGGTATATTTGAGTTTACGTGGATTGTCTGAGTGCATTTCTGTGATACAGTTCATATATCTAACCTTTTAAAATAATGGAATATCTTATAATAGTGAGATTTCATATCTGTGAAATGCGAGAGAACTTATAAGGTAGAAGCTCTAACTTTCTTGTCTAGAAGAGGGAAAAAGGATAGGTAGAGAGTGGTTTCCATCTTTGTTTTCTGAACTATATAACATTTTTTTAGCTGTTAAGCAAATAGTAGATGGATACTATGTACATATGTGCACACACGTGCACACACACACAGATATCAAGAATGACTCCTTAGAAACTTATAGCCATAGGGCATCTCATAGATTTTTAACCCCAATTTTACCACCTTTCACCTTGCTGTATTCTATCCTTTCTTCACATAATATTAGGCAAACAGCCAAATTCCTTTGTGATGAGCCATGCCCCAGTTGGAGCATGTATGTGCCACCAATTTCCATTTCTTTAGAGACTGTGTGGACCCTTTGTCTAGAAATGCACTTGGGATCACACAGCTATGA